AATTCTAAAAGTGAAATATCTTCTAAAATTGCAAAAACCAATTTTATTATTACATATATAAAGGTAAAGGGACCCCTGACCCTTAGGTCCAGTCGTGACCAACTCAGGGGTTGCGGCACTCATCTCGCTTTATTGACCAAGGGAGCCAGTGTACAGCTTCGAGGTCATGTGGCCAGCATGACTAAGCCACTTCTGGTGAACCAGAGCAGCGCACGGACACGTCGTTTACCTTCCTGCCAGAGCGGTACCTATTTACCTACTTGTACTTTGATGGGCTTTCAAACTGCTAGGTTGACAAGAGCAGGGACCGAGCAACAGGAGCTCACCCCGTCGCGGGGATTCGAACCGCCGACCTTCAGATCGGCAAGTCCTAAGCTCTGTGGTTTAACCCACAGCGTCACCTGCGTCCCTATTACATATATAAGAAAGTGTATATAGTTTACACTAGGAGAAAGTTACTTCTTTAAGTTCTATATGGATACTAATCGACATCAGGGAAGTCTAAGACATTTTGCTGCACAAAATGGCACCACCTCTCATTCCACATTCACACACACACTTTATTTCAGTCCAAAGAACCCCAAAAACATTTTCAAAAGCAAAATAAAACAGAAATACAGGGAAAGGGTTCCAAGGCGATCGCTATGCTTCATCCGAGCATGTAGGTTTCTTAATACTTCTGAGAGGAACTTAGCCCCAGCCAGAATAGTATCATTTGACATATCTCCAAGGATAGGTTTCAGATTTTCCAGTTAAGTTTACCAAAAGAGGTTTAATTAACTGATCCCTGGCTTGTTTGAACTGCTCACAATGTACAGTGGTACCTTGGTTCTCAAACACCTTGGCACTCAAAACACCTTAGTTCTCAAATGCTGAAAACCTGGAAGTAATTTCAGAAGAACATTTCAGAAGTCAAACGAACTTCCGGAACGGATTAAGTTTGGCGCTTTTGTTTTTGCTATTTATTTTGCGTTTTTGTTTTTGAGGCTTTTTCGGTTAATTTGTTTTTGTGACTGTGTGGAACCTAGTTCAGCTACTGACTGATTGACTGATTGATTGATTGATTGATTGTGTGACTGCAGAAATGGATAAAAGCCCCCCATCCAAACAATGACTATCATCAGTGCAAGTAAGAAAAAATATATTGTAATTTTTATCATCTACAATACTATCTTTTTATTTTATAGTACAGTACATTGATTATTGCTTTCATTTTATGGATCAATGGTCTTGTTAGATAGTAAAATTCATATTAAATTGCTGTTTTAGGGGTTGTTTTTAAATGTTTTAAAAGGATTAATCCATTTTGCATTACTTTCTATGGGAAAGCATGCCTTGGTTTGGGAACGCTTTGGTTTTGGAATGGACTTCCGGAACGGATTAAGTTTGGGAACCATGGTAGTACCATTGTAGTAGAATATGCTTCATAGAGTCAACACCCTGACAGCATAAGCAGAGCCTATTCTGACAGGGTATACCAGACAGTCTGTCATTTAGTACTTCTGATGGAAATACATTTAGTCTGGCTTTGGTGAATAATCGGCGATAGTTAGGTACTGACAGATTCATGAAATATGATGGTAACTGAAGATCATGGCCATAGTGGATTCTAGATGCAAACGGTCCACATGTTACATAGAATCTAGAGTGAAGATTGCTGTGTGAAATATCCCATAACCTCTGCCTCAGGGATTTAAAGGCAGTATCATAGCCCAGATGATGTAAAAAGGATGGTGAAAGACCAATTGAGGCTTTCCGGCCATAGTTTTTGACCATGAGCTGATAGACTCCTCATTGATTAGATGCAAAAGTAATCTCTTCCCCAGGCCAGAATTCAAGGCAGCCCACCATGCTTTGGTGGAGAGTGGGCATTCACCTGTTTCCAACAGTAGAACTGAGTTAGGGACACAGTTTGGGATGTGAAGTAGGGAACTTAGCTTGGAACCCATCTAACTTAGAAAACAGACCATTGTACCAGACGTTTGAAGCATAAAGGAGTTGGGAAACAGATTTCGCATTAAAGACCCTAATTATTATTATTATTATTTATTTATTTATTTATTTATACCCCGCCCTCCCCAGCCAAGGCCGGGCTCAGGGCGGCTAACAAGCAATAATAAAAACAAGTTGAATGATTACAACTTAAAACAAAATTAAAATGCTATTTATGGACCTTGAGGCTCTCTGTGGGGCATACCGGGAGAGGCGGTCCCGTAGGTACGAGGGTCCTAGGCCGTGAAGGGCTTTAAAGGTCAAAAGCAGCACCTTAAATCTGACCCTGTACTCCACCGGGAGCCAGTGCAGCTTGAAAAGCACTGGGTGAATATGCTCCCAAGGCAGAGACCCCGTGAAGAGCCTCGCTGCAGCATTCTGCACCCGCTGGAGTTTCTGGGTCAGCTTCAAGGGCAGCCCCGCGTAGAGCGAATTACAGTAGTCAAGCCTGGAGATGACCGTCACATGGATCACTGTGGCCAGGTCGGGGCGTGAAAGGTAAGGGACCAATTGCTTGATGCGGCGAAGGTGGAAAAATGTTGCCTTGGCTGTCGCTGTAACCTGCGCCTCCATGGAAAGGGAGGCGTCAAGGATTACACCCAAACTCTTAACGGAAGGCAATGGCACTAATTGGGCCCCCACAAGACAAGGAGTTGGTCCCTCATCCCCATGCCATCCCGACCCAAGCCATAGGACCTCTGTCTTCGAAGGTTTTAGTTTCAATCGGCTCCCACGAAACCATCCAGCCACAGCTTCCAAGCATCTGGTCAGTGTGTTCGGGGCCGAGTCGGTGTGGCCATCCATCAGCAGATAGAGCTGAGTGTCATCAGCATATTGGTGACAACCCAGCCCAAAGCTCCGGACAATCTGGGCAAGGGGGCGCATAAAGATGTTAAAAAGCATTGGGGAGAGGATTGTGCCCTGCGGCACTTCACACACCAAGGAGTGGCGTGACAACATTTCCCTCCCTAGTGCCACCCTCTGTCCCCGACCAGAGATAAAAGAGCACAGCCAGTTACGGGCTATGCCCTGTATCCCCACGTCTGCGAGGAAGTGGTCCAGAAGATCATAATTGACCATGTCAAAGGCTGCTGACAAATCTAAAAGAATCAGCAGTCCTGACCCTCCGTAGTTGTCTACGGAGATCATCTGTTAGGGCAACCAGAGCCGTCTCGGTCCCAAAACCAGGACGGAAACCGGACTGAAATGGATCTAAAGCCGTTGTTTCCTCCAGAAACCTACCAAGCTGCTCAGCAACTGCTCTCTCAATTACCTTACCCAGATATGGAAGATTTGAAACTGGGCGGTAATTGTATAGGTCTAAGGGATCTAGTGAAGTTTTCTTTAAGAGTGGACAAACCACTGCTTCCTTCAGTTCCCCTGGAAATGTCCCCGTGCTAAGGGACAAATTGATAATTTCAACCAGGGGGGTCCGTGCGACATCTGGACACTCCCTAATCAGCCAAGATGGGCACGGATCAAGGAGGCAGGTGGTGGACCTACCAACTTGAAGGAATCTATCCACATCAGCAGGGAGTATCCAATCGAAATGGTCCAACGGGCAGGGGTACCTTTACCTTTACCTAAACAATGTGGGGGCCAAAATACATCCCTGTCTCACTCCCCTAGCCATCTCAATCCAGTCCAAAAGTTGGCCCTGCAATCCACATCTAACCTGCAATTTGATTTTACTGTACAGAGCTTTAATAGGAAGAAGAGTCATTTATCCTGCAGTAACAGATGTAACAGATGTAACAGTAACAGATGTCCATAGTTTCAATCTGGAAACAGAGTCGAAAGCAGATTTCAAATCCATAAAGGCAACAGATAGTTTTCACTGCAGAGGTCTAGCGTATTTCTCTGCTAAGTGGAACATCACGTGGCAGTGATCTGATGTTGAAAAGTTATCACGAAAGGGAGCCTGGGCCTCAGACATTATATATTATAATTTTAAAAAGTTGTCAGAGAGGAAACAAGCATAAAGTTTTCCCATTATAGAAAGGAGACTAACTGGCCTATAATTTGAGGGCACATTAGATTGTCCTTTAACGCAGACTTCTTTTGATGTAACTGGCCTCCAAAGTGAGAGCTTTGTCAACTCTGCAAAATAATCGTCACATATGGTGGGAGGGAAATTCATATTGTCAGTAAATATTGTTTTATAATGGTTCTCCCATACATGGGCTGGAATAGAGCAGTTAGGGGCTGGGGAGTTACTTCTGAGCATACCAGAAACCAGTTGGCAAAAAAGTTTAACTTCATTATTTAGCGAAGCATTCAATAGCAGAGACCAAGAGTTGTGTTCAAACTGCCTTTTTTCCACAGCCAATAAAGCTTTATACTCCTTTTTTATTTTGAAATAGGTTGGAGGCAAATAGTTTAGACCAGCATTTTTATTCCACATACAGAAGCCAACCTGGCTGCTGACTCTTATTTCAACACGGGCAATGAAATAGCATCCTTCACCACACCTGAGGACAGCAAGCTAGATGAAGAGGTGCAAGGCAGGCAGCGCGGCCAACCTCCCTCTAGCTTCTTCTGCCTGAGGCAGCCGCCTCACTCTGCCGAAGGGCAGCACCAGCCTGATCAATAGGCTTTAATGCTTAGAAAAATCAATTCATATGCACTTTAGAAATATCTACAGTATAAATGGAATTTTTAAAATTTAAAATCAATTCACCCTTCTCTAAGCTATTTCAGAGAGTTTCTGTGCTGAAGCAGTTGGGAGTCTAGCAATCAGTTTTTATGGTGGCTCAAGGCAGAAGCTTTATAATATCAAATTTCAACAAATCACTATATATCTTTTATCCAGAAACAAGTGTCAAGAAGTTTTTACATGAAAACCACAAAATTATAATCTGAAGTAAGTCAAAAATTACTGCAGGTACCACTTGTGTGAGAAGTTACATGTAAATCATGATTTCAATGAAAGTGGCAATAAGGCTGTTGCTTAAATCAGTTATTGGTGAACCAGAATATCCAGGGAAAGTTGAGTTTCAGCATTTTACCTGCGATTGATCCTAGGCGTACAAGAGTAAAATGTAGCAAAATATGAGGGAGGTGGTACTGGTGGCACAAAATCTTCTGGATCAGAAGCGTGGCCTTGTTCTTCAGCTTCCTCCACATAAACATGGGGCTCTTCCTGACAAGATAAATGTTTGTTTTGTAAAGACTTCTGCACTGAAACCACAAGCAGAATTCATGGAAGACTGACTTCCTTCTGCACTTTTAGAAAACAAAACTGTGCCCTGCACTCACTTACTATGCAGGATCTTCTTGTGGCAAATATCTGCAGATAACGTAGGGCAGCAGCTACTAGGCATACAGTAGTGGTCAAGGCATTCAGAGCACAGAGAGCAAAAAGAACTTTCTGTAGTGCGACAAAAAGGAAAAAAAGACTACAAAAATAATAAAGGTATGCAAAGGTGAGCCAACAGAACAGATGACAATAAGCATCATTTTAAAATGTGGACTTTTTCTATAAAGCACACCGAAACAAAATGGAAACATTTTAATTGCATCAGGTTGTGCTACATTCCACTCCCTGAAACACAGGTGTCTCTCCATTTACACGGGGGTTACGTTCCAAACTGTTGCACACCTCACTGAAATTGTGTAAAATTGGAAGTCGCCTGCACTTCTTTTCAGGAAATTTAAGGAAGCCAGAAGCTCGCTGAGGTCACACACCTGACGCACAGGAAAACTTTTCCTTGTGTCAAGTTGAGCAGCCTCAGCAAGCCTCTGGCTTGCCCGGAGACCCTCCCAGAGCTCCAAGAGGATATCCACTCCAGGCTCCAGGGAGTGTCTCCTTCCGAGCAGCATAGCGGGTCTTTGCTGAGGAGCTCTTTGCGTCTCTGCCCCAACTTCCAGTATTCTGGGACCACACATAGGCACAGTTGCACAGGAATTGAACATGCATAAATGGGGGGGGGGGAGGGATGCCCGTACTAGGATAATGGGATCACTCTGTGTTAAAAAAGACCCATAACTATTCCAAGATCCATAACTACTATGGACAAGCTGCTTATATCATAACGGCAACCACTGCTTTGTAGATTGCGTCTACACCCTAGAAGTAAGGTGTCTTACGACTTTCAAGGGCTATCTCATTCTATAGGCCAAGAATTTATGAGTTAACCTCCTCTTTCATTCTGAGCAATGGGTTCTTTATGAAATTACAACATGATGCCAAAGTGCATTTTTCTTGCAGTTTATTCTTTGCCAATGCAGTCCATGTCACATGCCGACTTACCTTGAGTAGAAGGTGAACTGCACCACATGGTTGGACGGGATACAGCTTCAGCGCATTATCTTTCTCTGTGCATTTTTCTGGCAGAAATTCTTCACAACAGAAACAAAACTTACTTTCACCCACATCAGCCTTCAATATTGTGAAAAGTAAAGAGAAATTTGAATCAGTAAATTGAAAAATACTGCACTGAATGCAAAAGCGAAGTACAGAAGAATAAAAATCCATAAAGCAATTTCCAACTCTAATAAATGTATTGCTTGAGGAAAAATTGTGGGCCCAGTTGCACTGAGGCCATAGAAGGGTGTAAGGTCTGTAGGGTGTAAGGGGACCCCTGACCATTAGGTCCAGTCGTGACCGACTCTGGGGTTGCGGCGCTCATCTCGCTTTACTGGCCGAGGGAGCCGGCGTACAGTTTCCGGGTCATGTGGCCAGCATGACTAAACCACTTCTGGTGAACCAGAGCAGGGCACGGAAACACTGTTTACCTTCCCGCTGGAGCGGTACCTATTTATCTACTTGCACTTTGACGTGCTTTCGAACTGCTAGGTTGGCAGGAGCTGGGACCGACAGCGCCACCTGCGTCCCGTACAGAAGGGTGTATGAACAGCAAATAAAACAGAAAACATACACTGGGTTCAAATTTGGCCACAACTTTATTGTTTACAGATGAACGCAGGTTTGCTGTAGGCACAGAGTCAGATGGGGTAGACTAATGTTAAGGAGTCCGCACCGGCCAAAGGTGCTGGGGTCCATCAGATACCCTCCAAGTGTCCCTATTTTTCAGGGACATTCCCAGATTTACAGAAGCCATCCCAGTTTCTGATGTGGTTCCAGAATGTCCCACTTTCCCTTAGGACATCCCTATTTCATCAGAGAATGTTGGAGGGTATGCCATCAGCCCCTGAGCTGGGCATGTGGTTAAGAAGCACCACCCTCCTATAACTCTTAAGTCCAAATAAACAATAGAAGAGCTCCCCCTTCTTCTCTTCTCATGAAGGACTTAGTGCTTCCTGGTCTGATATAATCCTAAACTGCCATTATATTCAAACCAGGAAATTATGGTTTGATGGAGTTCTCCAAACCAGAACTGAAAGCCAATCCTTGTTCAAAGCAACTGCTCAAATCATAGCTTGCCAGTGTTCTTTGCCAGCTTTAGCAAAATATAAAGCATGCTGAGGCATTCTTCCATTAGACTATAAATTAGGATTAAGGTAAAGGTACCCCTGCCCGTACGGGCCAGTCTTGACAGACTCTAGGGTTGTGCGCCCATCTCACTCAAGAGGCCGGGGGCCAGCGCTGTCCGGAGACACTTCCGGGTCACGTGGCCAGCGTGACAAAGCTGCATCTGGCGAGCCAGCGCAGCACACGGAAACACCGTTTACCTTCCCGCTAGTAAGCGGTCCCTATTTATCTACTTGCACCCGGGGGTGCTTTCAAACTGCTAGGTTGGCAGGCGCTGGGACCGAGCAACGGGAGCGCACCCTGCCGCGGGGATTCGAACCGCCGACCTTGCGATCGGCAAGCCCTAGGCGCTGAGGCTTTTACCCACAGCGCCACCCGCGTCCCTATAAATTAGGATTATTTGGCCCCAAATGGACACCAAATGTGGTTCCTTCAGATCATCCCTTCTCCTCTTTGAGAAAGCTTTGTATCAACATCCTCATTACCAATGTAATGGACATCTACTGTCATCCAAATAATTTAGGGGCTGAACACCATGTGGGTATGTTCTTTTTAGTATTCTCCATGTTTTGCATAATGCATATTTTTATGCTCAGGGAGATAAGGACTAAGCAAGTAAGCCAAAGGCTTATGGAAACAGGAGTACAGACTTGGTATCTGAACACAGATAATCTATAGATCCACGAATTAATCCGTTTATTATTTGATAATATGGTTAGTGTTATTCCTTTTCTAAGCCACTTTTTTGTTAAGAGAGCAAAACAGAATAGAATATAATTAGACTGCAATCCGAACTCCACTTACCTGCAGTAAGCCCTGTTAAGTAAATTGACTTCTTACTTCTGAGAAAACAAACTTAGGACTGCAGCCTTAGTTAGTATTGGAGGGAGGTATAGTTTGCTTTACAGTTTCCTGGCACGGTAAAGCTTTATATGACAAGCACAGTCATCTACAGTCATGCTTCAGACACAATCAGGTAAATTGTCTCCTCACCAGATCACATCTAGGGAGACTGGATACAAATTGAGCACCTTGGCATCCCAGGATGAATCCAGCCAGGTTCAAGAGAACACAAATGACAGAAAGCAAAACAAACAGGTTAACCTAAAACAAAACAAAAAATACAAGAATTTTAAGCCGCTTGGCATTCTATGTAAACACTATCAAAACACACTGTCCTGCATGTTACCTTTGCCATCTATGCCTTAGGTTTTAAAATACTGTGCTAAATTCTTTGTCCACCAAAAGATTTGCCATTTGAAACATATTCCTACATATTCAGTTATATTCTATCACTTATGAGCAATCATAAACTTGACAGGCTGGTATAGAAACTTCTAAATAATGCTTGCAGAATTTGATATTTCAATCTGTTACATTATTTTTCACTGAATTCAATATTATGAAATCTGAAGAAGTATCTAATGATCACACTGCAATAAGGGAAAGAAAGCTGATGAAGCCACTTTATAGTACAAACACTGAACTGAAAACAGCATATTCCAGCAAAGGCACAGGCAAATTTGACAGATTCAAATTACACTTTACTTTCTCCTCTACTACGAAATATAGTATAGAATATATTCTTGACATAACCCACATTTATTTTGCTGATACTCTCAATAGGAAAAATTACACAGTCTATTAAACAGATTATGCCTCCTTTATTAACACAAAGATCTCTGGGTGGAGGAAATAAAGACCACAAGGGTCATCGAGTCCAACCCCCTGCCAAGCAGGAAACACCATCAGAGCACTCCTGACATATGGTTGTCAAGCCTCTGCTTAAAGACCTCCAAAGAAGGAGACTCCACCACACTCCTTGGCAGCAAATTCCACTGTCGAACAGCTCTTACTGTCAGGAAGTTCTTCCTAATGTTTAGGTGGAATCTTCTTTCTTGTAGTTTGGATCCATTGCTCCGTGTCCGCTTCTCTGGAGCAGCAGAAAACAACCTTTCTCCCTCCTCTATGTGACATCCTTTTATATATTTGAACATGGCTATCATATCACCCCTTAACCTCCTCTTCTCCAGGCTAAACATGCCCAGCTCCCTTAGCCGTTCCTCATAAGGCATCGTTTCCAGGCCTTTGACCATTTTGGTTGCCCTCCTCTGGACACGTTCAGAGTTGAACGTGTCCAAGTTGGACAATAAATTATTGTGCTATAACCAAACCAGAACAATAGTTGGACAATAAATTATTGTGCTATTTATTGTGATGGACAATTAATTACTGTGCTATAACCAAACCAGAACATATTAATCAACACATACCAGAAGTATCATTGGTCTCTTCCATGTGGTTAATCCTATAATTCCCGATAAAATTACCTGCAACAATAAAAAACAAATAGTTATTAAGAAGTGAGAGTTCATCACCCATCATTTGCATGTTGAATAGCTCTAACTGTGAAGCTCTAAAAGAGCACTGACAAAATTCTGATTAAAAAGGTAGGAGCTCAGGACCCACTGACTGGGTCACAATAGGAATATATATATGATCAATTCAGTGTGCTGCCTGTAACACACGTGTGCACCCTCCCAAACACACAACTCTTCACACCTGGATGGTCTATTGAAGAGGAATGGGGACAGTAGAGGACTCCCACTGTTCCCTTTAATTTCAAGGGTATTCCACACATTTTAAGCTCTACAGTGGTACCTCTAGATGCGAACGGGATCCGTTCCGGAGCCCCGTTCGCAAATAGAAGCAAACGTAACCCATGTCCGCACGTCTGCGCGGGTCACGTTTCCCGCATCATTTTGAGCGTCTGCGCATGCGGTGAAACCCGGAAGTAACGTGCTCCGTTACTTCTGAGTTGCCGCGGAGCGCAACTCGAACGTGCTCATCCCGAAGCGCATTCAACCTGAGGCATGACTGTACTAGTAAAGTACAGAAAAGCAGTTTCAGTGCTGAACGTAGGATGTCAATTTTCCTGCTTTGCTAATAGAACCAAAATTTGTTCCACTATTTCTTTTGCTCTTCAGCTGAGTAAGCATATACATGTAAAAAAAAAAGATCCATTTCCATTTCCAAGCAGAGATTAAAACACACATTTAAAATTTAAATTTAAAAATAAACATAAAAGGATGTTCAGCTAATTCTATCACGGAATGCTTTTAGCCAGGAAGCAAAAAAGGTGGTGGACTAGCAAACTTTTAGAGAATTTTATCTTTAATTTTACCTTTATGTTCTTTATGCTTTTTACACTTTACATTATTAGTCATTTTTGTTTTTTATTGATTTTGCACAATTTTCTATAAGTCTCATGCTCACAAAGAGAAAACTTCTCTATCAGTGTAGGTTTTTTAAATAAAAACAAACACCATATTTTTATTAAAGATTTCTTGGTTTACAAAACTATGTCCAATGTCTCTTTTTTCAAGTTACATTTTCTACAGATCAGTTTCATTTGTTGAGACATTAGTGTTACAGTAAAGGGGGAAAGAGGAGTGTGATTCAATGATAAATTCTGCCATCTGTGCTGTACTGATTTTCAAATCAATTTTGTTATCCATATTAAAATTAAGTTAGTTGCACTTACATTCTCTTGAAATCAATTTTTAAAACCAATGAGACAAGGAAGTGGTGACAAACTAATGCTTGCTTTCTAGATGATATAAGCAGAACTGAAATCTCTACTTTCATATATGAATCATAAACTTGCATAAATTTAGAATCATAGAATCATAGAGTTGGAAGAGACCACAAGGGCCATCGAGTCCAACCCCCTGCCAAGCAGGAAACACCGTCAGAGCACTCCTGACATATGGTTGTCAAGCCTCTGCTTAAAGACCTCCAAAGAAGGAGACTCCACCACACTCCTTGGCAGCAAATTCCACTGTCGAACAGCTCTTACTGTCAGGAAGTTCTTCCTAATGTTTAGGTGGAATCTTCTTTCTTGTAGTTTGGATCCATTGCTCCGTGTCCGCTTCTCTGGAGCAGCAGAAAACAGCCTTTCTCCCTCCTCTATGTGACATCCTTTTATATATTTGAACATGGCTATCATATCACCCCTTAACCTCCTCTTCTCCAGGCTAAACATGCCCAGCTCCCTTAGCTGTTTCTCATAAGGCATCATTTCCAGGCCTTTGACCATTTTGGTTGCCCTCCTCTGGACACGTTCCAGTTTGTCAGTGTCCTTCTTGAACTGTGGTGCCCAGAACTGGACACAGTACTCCAGGTGAGGTCTGACCAGAGCAGAATACAGTGGCACTATTACTTCCCTTGATCTAGATCAGTGTTTCCCAAACTTTTTTGGGCAACGGCACACCTGTTTACTGAAAAAAAATCTCGCGGCACACCACCATTAAAGCCCCGCCCCGTGACGTCAGCGCGCAGCGTCACGCCGGGAGGGACGCACGAAAGTGAAAGTTTTTTTCCTCCCCCTTGCCGGGGAACCTCCAAGCTTTGGGGGTGGGAGGAGGCAGCAGAGCGAGGGACTGAGGGACGGCGGCAACTGAGGCGGCGGCGGCTGTGGTGGTGGTGGCGGCGATAGCGGGCGGAGGAGGGGGCGGCGGCGGGGCTTGAGGAGCCGTCGCCGGGAGTTGCTGCTGCTGTTGTTGCTGCTGCTGCCCGGACATGCCGGCCTCCTCCTCCTCCGCTGTCTCGCGCTCCTCCCTTTTGCACGCACTGCCCCGCCGCTCGGCACCACCACCGCGGAGCCGCCCCCGGCTCGACGCGGATCCTCGCCGCCGCCGCCTCTCACCGCCCGACTCGCCTGCCTCCTTCCCACGGCACACCAGCCAATGTCTCACGGCACAGTAGTGTGCCGCGGAACACCGGTTGGGAAACACTGATCTAGATGCTATACTCCTATTGATGAGGCCCAGAATTGCATTGGCTTTTTGAGAACTTTTAAATTTTCACTTTTTTCTTCTTGGTTATAAAAAAAGATACTAAAAGCCATCAGCTACAAAACGAACATTTAATATGGAACAAAGCATCAGTATTCAAATCACAGACCCCCACAACTGGTGGTTTAACATCAGAACAGAATAACAGTAAGAGCTGTTCGACAGTGGAATTTGCTGCCAAGGAGTGTGGTGGAGTCTCCTTCTTTGGAGGTTTTTAAGCAGAGGCTTGACAACCATATGTCAGGAGTGCTCTGATGGTGTTTCCTGCTTGGCAGGGGGTTGGACTCGATGGCCCTTGTGGTCTCTTCCAACTCTATGATTCTATGATTCTATGAATAAAATAACTATACAGATGGGACAATTGCAGGCCTGGAGCCATAACATCAGCAATGATGTCCATCATCTGGGCAAGGGCAGCCCAGGTCCCTGCTTATCCTTCTGCTCTTCCTTTATCAACATATTTGACCACATGACCTATTCTTAAAACCAACTGCTGCATGAGGTGACACACCACACTAAATACACAGCACCCATTTGTACATGTTTCTCATTTGACCAAGGTTATGTGCATAAGATATCTTCTTTGGTTGTGACCTTCCTCAATTGTTACCAGAAACTGAGTGTCTGACATATCTCAACAGGAATGGTGTTCCATAGAACAGGGGCAGCTACGCTAATAATGATAATGATAATAATAACAGCCCTGCTCCTGAGAACCTTGGAATCTGCAGGTGAAACCGCAGTAAGACTACAGACCACAGTAATCTCCTGGGTGTATAAGAAACTACCCTGGTCCTGAGCTGTATGATGAGACATATCAAAATTTTCCCAAAAACTTTCATTTTCTACCTCTTCTGGTCTAGAGGTGGACAAGAAATTAGAAAGAACTTTCCCCTCTATTCCAAGCCAAAGCCTCACCTCATGAGACTAACCCTTATCAATGAGCAACTATCCACATGGGCCCTGACCCACCTGCATATAAGCAGCTATAGACTGCTGCATTCACATAGCATCAATCACCTGCTTTGAAGGTCTTTGATAGGATACTGACTCCACACTCCCCCCCCACCTTCCCCAACTCTGCTATCTCTGCAAGAACAGGCACTTGTGTTTACTAACACTCCACAAAAATAAAAAATATATATCTAAAAATGCCTTGCATTAACCCAAATTTATGACTAGAGCCTGAAATGATGCTCTGCAAGGTTTTAGCTCTCTGGTTACAAAAAAAGGGGGCTAGGTGCCCCAATTACATCTTATTAATTGCGTGCCTTTGGTGTTTTTTAATAGCATGAAGAACAGTTGCTCTTGTGTTCAGATAATACAAGATGCCCAAAACTTAAAATGCCTTGCAGTGGATCAGACCATTGGTGCGTATTGTCCACACTGTCTGGAAGTGCTTCTCCGGGGTATCAGGCAGGGTTTTTCATCCCCACCTGGGACTCTCTGCATGCTGAGCACATGCTCTACCCCAGGGGTCGGCAAAGTTTTTGTGGCTTGGGCCACTTCACGGTCCCGCAGACGCCGTGGTGGGCCGGAGTGTGCCTGTGCATAGCCAGCACATAACCAGGCACTTCATAATCAGCAGGTATAAAAATGGTTATATTTTAAAAAGAATATTTAAGTTATTATTTAAATAAACAGAGATGCATAACCCGGAAAACCTTGGAGGTAATAATGAGGTTCCCATTATTTTCCTTGAGCACTGAAGATACATTACGTATGGGAGTACTGTATCTCCAGTTCTGAAAGTTAACATAATTTGCAACCCTCAGAGGCAGGGAGATGCAGCACATAGAAAAACAAATTCCATGGAAACCAATAAGAATTATTATTGTGCCTTGTGCATGGGATCAAATGTCATATGATAAATGTTATTTATCAAGTGATATTTACAAAACAAATCAACTGTTCTCCACACGAGGAAGGTTCATGGAATGTATCATATTAATACATGCACGAATCTTGCAGGTTTGACATCAACAGTAATCGGGAGTTATTATAGAGGCGCTCGACCCCCCGAGCTGCCTCTCGCTAAGGGCCGGGCGCTCCTGCCGTCGGAGGGCGAAGACTCACTGGCGGAGAACCATCGGGGTCAACAAAGGAAGCTCGCCTCTGAGGGGAATGTCCAGAGCAGGCCTCTTCCGGGCCCTGGGCCGGGGCACTTACCGAGGAGCCGGCCCAGAAGGGGCAGGAGTTCTTCACTTGCGGGGAGCTGCTGAGGGACAGCGCCCCGAAGCTGAGCGCCACCAGGCAGCAGCCCAGGATCAGCTGCAGCAGCCCCAGAGACAGCAGAGGGCGCGCCGGCAGCAGCCCCGGCCGAGACGGCGGAGGCCTCCCCGCCCAGCGGCAGGCCCCGCCGGGGGAGAGCGCGGCCGAGCGCGGCCCAGGCCACCCGGAGCGGGACCAGGGCGGCGGCGGCGGCGGGGCGGAGGAGGCGGCGGGTCTGGGCGCCTCGGGCCGCCGGGAGCCGGGCCAGCGGGCAGCACGAGCCCGGCAGCACCACCGGCAGAGACATGGGCGCCTCGCCCGCCCGCCCGCCCGCCGCGCCGGAGGCAACAAGTGCGTGGCCGCGGCGGCCCCTTTAAGGCGCGACAGGCCAGGCCCCGCCCTCCGCGCTCGCCCCGCAGGCGCGCCTCTCTCGCTGCGCGGGCGCCCCCCGGCGGAGGGTCCTGGAGCTGCGGCGGGAGGAAGGGGCGAGGCCGCGGCGCCGGAGAGCTCGGCCGGTGGCTCCTCCCACGTGCGCGCGCGCGCGCGGCTTCCCAGTTGCCGCCGAGCCCCGTCGGGAGCGAGCCTCTGGGGGGCGTGGTCTCCCCTTGCCACTGACTAGCGAGAACTAGCCTGGCGGCTGCCTGGCCCAGGCAGAGGAAAAGGGGTTTCTTCTATCACTCCATTTTGTCCATACAATTTGCCACATTACGAGTGTTACTGTAATCCTTCTAAAATTTCCATCTGTTTACAGTGATCTCCCAGATATATTATAAATTTCCCCCATTCCTCCTTGAAGTTTGGGTCTTCTGGCCTGACCTTTCCGCTCAGTTTTGCCATTTCACAGAATCCAGCCCCTTTCTTTGCCTCTGGGAGGAACTGGTCTTCTTTCCATCTCTGCCAGTAACAGCCCTGTGGCTGTCCTCACATACATTAACAGGCTTTCCTGCTCCTTTGGAATATTGGCACCTACAATTCCTAATAAAAAAGCTTCTGGTGTTTTTTTTATAAAAGGTATTTTAAACATTTCCCCCCCAATTCATTATATATCGTTTCCCAGAATGCTTTTATTAACTTACATGTCCACCATGTGATAAAAGGTACCTTCTTTTTCTTTACATTTCCAGAAGGTCCTTGTCCTGTACATTTTTGCCAACTTAGGAGGAGTCAAATACAACTAGTACATCCTTTTCTTTCTTTTTTTAAATTAATTTTTGTTATTAAAATAATTCAGCATTAATACATACGTTACGAATATACAAACATGCATTTCACACAATCCTTTTAAAAATCCCTACATACCCACACTCAATCCCACAGATTGACCACACGAATTTGGCCAAACCTCTGTTCCAATTATTAAAACATTTCTCTCCTCCTAGTACTGGGATACTTTGAAATAAAACATCATCCTTGGTAGTATGTTTATCTTTATTACCGATATTTTCCCTAATAAGGAAAGATTTAATTTCCCCCATACTTGCAAATATTTTTTTATTTCACTCCATGTTTTCCCACAGTTCTCATTACTTAAATCCATAGTATTTGTTGTTAAATTTTTTCCAAGATACCTTATTTTCTTTTTACTTTCCAATCCTGTAATTTCTTGTAATTTCACTTTATCTTTTTCTTCCATATTTTTCACTAGTATTTTGGTTTTCCCATAATTTAATTCGAATCCTGCTAATCTGCCGTATTCGTTTATACATTCCAATATTCTAGGTGTGCATTGTAAGGGATTTTCTGTTGTGATCATAACATCATCTGCAAAGGCTCTTAACTTAGATCTTTTTTCACCAACTGCTATTCCTCTTATTTGGTTGTCCTGTCTTATTTTCTTTAATAGAACCTCTAATACTATTATAAACAACATTGGGGATAGGGGGCATCCTTGTCTTGTACCTTTAAATATTAATTTCTTCTCCAAACTCTCCATTAATAATAATTTTTGCCTTCTGTTGGTTATATATTGCATTTATACCTTTTTAGAATTTTTTGCCTAGACACAATTCTTTTAATAGTTTTTTCATAAATTCCCATGAGATTTTATTGAAAGCCTTCTCCGCATCAATTGAAATCAACCTTTCTCCCTCCTCTATATGACATCCTTTTATATATTTGAACATGGCTATCATATCACCCCTTAACCTCCTCTTCTCCAGGCTAAACATGCCCAGCTCCCTTAGCCGTTCCTCATAAGGCATCGTTTCCAGGCCTTTGACCATTTTGGTTGCCCTCCTCTGGACACGTTCCAGTTTGTCAGTGTCCTTCTTGAACTGTGGTGCCCAGAACTGGACACAGTACTCCAGGTGAGGTCTGACCAGAGCAGAATACAGTGGCACTATTACTTCCCTTGATCTAGATGCTATACTCCTATTGATGCAGCCCAGAATTGCATTGGCTTTTTTAGCTGCCGCGTCACACTGTTGGCTCATGTCAAGTTTGTGGTCAACCAAGACTCCTAGATCCTTTTCACATGTACTGCTCTCAAGCCAGGTGTCCCCCATCTTGTATTTGTGCCTCTCATTTTTTTTGCCCAAGTGCAATACTTTACATTTCTCCCTGTTAAAGTTCATCTTGTTTGTTTTGGCCCAGTTCTCTAATCTGTCAAGGTCGTAGATGTATTCATGTCTCCAGGGCCAGATGAACTGCATCCAAGAGTATTAAAAGAACTGGCAGATGTGATCTCAGAACCACTGGCAGTCATCTTTGAGAATTCCTGGAGAACAGGCGCAGTCCCGGCAGACTGGAGGAGGGCAAATGTTGTCCCTATTTTCAAAAAGGGGAAAAGAGAGGACCCAAATAATTACCGCCCAGTCAGTCTGACATCAATACCAGGGAAGATTCTGGAGCAGATCATTAAGCAAACAGTCTGTGAGCACCTAGAAAGGAATGCTGTGATCACCAACAGTCAGCATGGATTTCTGAAAAATAAGTCATGTCAGACTAACCTGATCTCGTTTTTTGACAGAATTACAAGCCTGGTAGATGAAGGGAACGCAGTGGATGTAGTCTACCTTGATTTCAGCAAGGCATTTGACAAGGTGCCCCATGATATTCTTGTAAAGAAGCTGGTAAAATGCGGTCTTGACTATGCTACCACTCAGTGGATTTGTAACTGGCTGACTGACCGAACCCAAAGGGTGCTCATCAATGGTTCCTCTTCATCCTGGAGAAGAGTGACTAGTGGGGTGCCACAGGGTTCTGTCTTGGGCCCGGTCTTATTCAACATCTTTATCAACGACTTGGATGATGGACTCAAGGGCATCCTGATCAAATTTGCAGATGACACCAAACTGGGAGGGGTGGCTAACACCCCAGAGGACAGGATCACACTTCAAAATGACCATGACAGATTAGAGAACTGGGCTAAAACAAACAAGATGAACTTTAACAGGGAGAAATGTAAAGTATTGCACTTGGGCAAAAAAAAAATGAGAGGCACAAATACAAGATGGGTGACACCTGGCTTGAGAGCAGTACATGTGAAAAGGATCTAGGAGTCTTGGTTGACCACAAACTTGACATGAGCCAACAGTGTGACGCGGCAGCTAAAAAAGCCAATGCAATTCTGGGCTGCATCAATAGGAGTATAGCATCTAGATCAAGGGAGGTAATAGTGCCACTGTATTCTGCTCTGGTCAGAATTGTATTGCCAATTCCTGAACCTTCCTCAGTTCCTCAGTTTCCTCTTTGTTTTTCTCTTGGAGTTTCCTTGAATCTCTTTGATCCGCCTGAATTTTTTTCATGGCTTCCTCTTGTTTTAATGACTTATTCTTTATCTCCTGCACCATCTTGTCTAGCTCTTTGTTCTTTATTGTCAGTTGGTTCACTTGATTAGAAAGGTTCATGATTAATGTGGAAATTTTCTCAATCTTTGTGCCCATACTCACCTTATCTTTAATTTGTTCAAATGGTTTTAATTTAAAGCCTTCTTGGTCCTCTATCAATAAATCAGAGTATCTCAACCATTTGTTTTCCATATTTAACTTTTTTTGGGCCGGTGCTTCCATTGGAGAGATCCATTTGGGTGAATGAATGAACTTTATTACGGTCACAGACCAGGATAAAAACCAAAAAAACACCAAGATATAAATAAAATAGCAGTTAGGGTTGTTTTTTTAAACCGATACAGTGGTGCCTCGCAAGACGAAATTAATTCATTCCGCGAGTTTTGTCGTCTTGCGATTTTTTTCGTCTTGCGAAGCACGGTGTCGGGAAAGTTTTGGAAAAGCTTCAAAAATCACCAAAGTCTTTAAAAACCTCAAAAAAGGCTACCACACCGCGTGCTATGAGTTGCTCCTCGAAGTCAAGTCGCAACTGTATTAACGGTGTTAAGAAAAAGGAAACAAACTTGCAAGATGTTTCCATCTTTGCGAAGCAAGCCCATAGGGAAAATCGTCTTGCGAAGCAGCTCAAAAAACAAAAAACCCTTTCGTCTTGCGAGTTTTCCGTCTTGCGAGGCATTCGTCTTGCGAGGTATCACTGTAATTGTTAGAGCAAATAAGGACAAAGAAACAAGCCTAGGATAAAACATCTGAATAAAATACAAGATTAAACACGGATACTGGATGGGTAAAAACTGATAATTAAAACAGATAAGAACTAAAAACAAATAAAAACACGCAGTTAAAACAATTGTAGGAGCATAAGAACTAAAAGATTTGCAGTTAAAACAACTATAAGGGGCTGCAGAGTAGAAGCCTCTGAAATAGAGGACACTCACAACATTAGAAACTGATGTGCAAATATGGTTAAAACAGACAATTAAAACAATTGTAAAACAATAATTTAGAAACAATGTACAACAATAAACTATCCCAGGGAGTTGACTCAGAGTCACCCATGGAACCGAGTTTGGGGCTTTGGGTGTTTTTCGTTGTAAAATATCTTTATATCTACTCCAAACATTGTATAACGTTTTCCTAATTATATGATTCTTGAAACCACTATGGGCCTTTATCTTATCATACCATAGATATGCATGCCAACCAAATCTCTTATCCAGTCCCTCCAAATCCAGGATATCTTCATTGTCTAGTTGTATCCAATCTTTAATCCAGCAGAAGGCTGCAGCTTCAAAATATATCTTCAAATCTGGCAGGGAAAAACCTCTCTTTCTCTCACATCCGTAAGCAATTTATATTTAATTCTAGGTTTTTTCTCCTGCCAGAT